CTGGTTTTCTCTGTGTGTTTGCTTGTTTCTTTGCCCTTTTTTTTTTTTTTTAGCAGGTCTCTGTAAACCTCCCCTTCCCCAACAAACAAACCCAGACAAGAAGTTAAGTGATGTTTATAAGGAAATATAAAACTGACTTCTTGAGGCAAGTATAGCTAACTGGTAAGCATGTAAATGCTCCCACGTGGCAAGGTGTTGGGTGTTCTGAGGGACATAAAGAACAAATCCACGTAAATCATATTTTTAAGAATAAATAAAGCCTACATGAGGCACCCTCAAATGGCAATAATCGAAAAGACGCTATCAAGTGTTGGCGGGGTTGTGGAGAAACTCGAACCATCCCGCATCCCAAGTGAGAATGTAGAATGGTGCAGCCACTTTGGAAAACAGGTTAGTGATATCTTAAATTGTTAAATATACACTTAGCATATAATCTAGCAATTCCACTTCTAGGAACCTGCCCAAGAGAAATGACAATATGTGTTCACACAAAGACTTACATATATCTGAGTGTTCCTAGCACCATTATTATAATATCCTAACTTGAAACAACCCAAATATCCATCAAGTAGTGAATGTATAAACAAAATACAGTATACCCATACACTAGAATATTATTTAGTAACTAAAATAGGTGAAATACTGAAAGATGCTACAATATCAATGAACCTCAGAAACATTATGCTAAGTGAAAAGTGCCAGACCCCAAAGGCTATGTGTTCTAAGATTCCATTTTCTATGAATCTATAAAAGGCAAATTTGTAGAAACAGAAAGCAGATTTGTGGTTGCCTGGGGCTTACAGAGAGGAGAGAAGACCTGTAAATGGATTAAAGAAACTTTTTAGGATAATAGAACTGTTCAAAAACTGATTGTGGTAATAATTGTACAGTTGTATAAATTTACTAAAATCACTTCATCATACACTTATAATGGAATTTTATGGAATGTAAATTTTACCTCAATGAAGTGGTTTTTTGTTATTTTTATTTATTTATATATTTATATATTTTTTATTTTTTTAAATAAAGCATATAGCAAATTAAATAATCAATAGTTCTTTTCTCTGCAAAGGAAATCGAGAAACACTAGTCAAGCTATGGCTGCAAACCTGGGGTCCCTACAACAAACAGTCTTAGGACGCCCACCAGCTCATTTTCGTGACCGTACTAAGAAGCAATTTGCCTTTTTTGCCGTGTTGACATTTGCACTGATGGTGCAGAAACAACGGGGGGATGAAACTGCTGGTGTCCCAGCACAAATCAGGGCAGTGGCACCAAACTTTATAGTCATTGTATTCACCCCTTCTCCCTTGCCCCCTCCCCCGTGCACTTACAGTGGAAGCATACATTCCATTTTCACTTAAGAATGTCCTTGATGGGGGCACCTGGGTGGCTCAGTGGTTTAAGCCTCTGCCTTTAGCTCGGGTCATGATCTCAGGATCCTGGGATCGAGCCCCACATCGGGCTCTCTGCTTAGCGGGGAGCCTGCTTCCCCCTGCCTCTCTCTGCCTGCCTCTCTGCCTACTTGTGATCTCTGTCTGTCAAATAAATAAATAAAATCTTAAAAAAAAAAAAAAAAAGAATGTCCTTGATGAAGCAGTCAATTTTATTTAATTTTATTAAGTCCTGTGCCTTGGGTACAGAGCCTTTTAATAGTCTATATGATAAAATGGCATTTCTCCTGCGCACCCAGGTGAGATGGTCATTTCAAGGAAAAGTACTTGTGCAGTTGACTGAGTTGCAGGCTGAAAGAGCGGTTATTTTTATGGAACACCATCTCTACTTTAGAAAAAAATTCCTGACAGACAAATTATGGATATTCAGACTTGGGTATTTGGCAAACATTGTCTCAAGAATAAATGACAAGAAACTGTCACTTCAAAGAAAAAAAAATGGCACGATGTGTTGCTAGTCATAGAATTCAAACATTAAACCAAAATTAGAATTTTGGAAAATTTTGTACCACAATGAGCTTGGCAGCTTCCGGCAAGATTTTCCTAATGAGACTGATGGTGATTTTATCAAATGGGATTTTTTTTTTCATATTGTACAAAGAAATGTGTCAAAATTTGGAGAATATGGCAAAGAGGTCTTGATCCTATAGTGTTTGAGAACTGCTGGCCTCGTGGCTATATCATGGCTTCTGGGGCCATTATGCTTCGGTCCAAATCCTGCCACTATCACTTACCACCTGTGTGGTCTCAGGTAAAAGCCTCAGCCTTCTCATCTATACAATGGGAATAAAAATGGTACCTATCTCAGAAAGACATTGTGGGCATAAGAATGAGCTAATGTCTGTAAATATTTGTGAACATTATAATGAGTTCATATATGGAAATCACTTAGAATAGGGCCTGGCTTATATAGTAAGTGATCACTGAGCTGTTATTGTGATCTTGGCGAGTGGTAATTTGTAAAAACAAATACGTCATAAAAACATAATCTATAGAAATCTCTCTGTAATTATATATACTTCCTTATTTTCTTTTTTGTAACTGGGAAATCTGAAGCTGACATTCCCTCCCCGTGCCTCTACCGCATCTTCGGTCCTCCCAAATCCTGGCAGTGCGCGCCTGTGCGCATGCGCGGAGGGATGGCTTGTCCTGGGCCCGAGTACCACCATACCCCCTCAACCACTGAGCCCCGTTGTTTGGGGTTTCCTTCTCTTCCTAGCAACCACGCACAGTGTTTTTAAGGAAAATGCGGTGAGGCAATGTAATTGTGAAGATTGCCGTTTAATACATTGACTGTAAACAGAATACAATTGCGTATCGTTCAGAGTCATAAAATTAGAGGCCTCATTCCTACCTCAGCAATGTTTTACAATTACAATGTCAATCAATCAATCAATCAATCAATAACAAAATTACAATGTATCATTTAGGCTCAGCGTTTGAGAATTTATGTGAATAGAGAAAAAGCATAAGGCTCTGTCCTGGGTCCATTTTCGGTGATTAATCCAAGCAGACAGGAAGTTTCGGGGGAAAAAAAAATGACTAACTCGGAACCTCCCTCCGCAGTCCTTCAGGGAGACTAAGTTGAAGCTATTTTTATCTCTCATGAAAAGAAGCTCATCATCTGTTGACCTTGTTCATTCGTGCCACCAGTATACGATGGGTAACTCCCATGGGTGTCAGGCCCCAGCAAGGCACGGAGGCCCTGCCGGTAAAGAAGGGACTGGGCCTTGCCCTCCTGGAGCTGCTTTGTGAAAGCTGAGGTAGTTCATCTGTTGTTCCCCGGCTGTGTCAGCAGAAGGAACAGTATACATTTTATGCCTTTTAAAAGTGTATGAAAAGGGGCACCTGGGTGGCTCAGTGGGTTAAAGCCTCTGCCTTCGGCTCAGGTCATGATCCCAGGGTCCTGGGATCGAGCCCCACATCGGGCTCTCTGCTCAGCAGGGAGCCTGCTTCTCCCTCTCTCTCTCTGCCCACTTGTGATATCTCTCTCTCTGTCAAATAAATAAATAAAATCTTTAAAAAAAATAAAATAAAAAAATAAAAGTGTATGAAAATACTCTCTTCAGTTTAGCCTGAGGCAAAGAAGGTAGGATAGGCCGCAGAAGAATCGTAACGATTGTTTCTTTTCCTGGAAGATCACAAACAAAAAATTACCCTGTATTTTGGAGTCCTGACGTTATACAGATAAGCTCACCTAAGAGCATGTAAATCATCAGAGGTTCACTGATTTAAATGGCTTCTGCTGTCCTGAGAGAAATAGGAACTCTCGAAAAAGGTCTTTCGGGGACCATCTGTTTTAGGTGCCATCACTCTGCATGTGGTAAGAGCAGTGGGTTGGCCCACAGGAGCCTTTATTTGTTGCCCTCGCCTGGGTCTTTAATTATTGCTACATGTCAGGTTCCTTGATTGGATACAGTCACCTGTTATAAATAGGTTTAGAATAGTCTGTCCTTTCATTTCAGGGGTTGTTTTCAGAGCAAATTATAAAGCATCCTGAATATTTTTTAAAGATAATATTGTATAAATATAGAGCAGCACTGTTATTGAGAGAGTATGCCCACTGATATGCTTGCAGTTTTTTTAAAGATTTTATTTATTTATTTGAGAGAGCCAAGCAGCAGAGGTGGGGGGGCAGAGGGAGAATCAGGCCCCCCCCTCCCCGCACTGAGCAGAGAGCCTGATGCGGGGCTCAATCCCAGGACCCTGAGATCATGACCTGAGCCAAAGGCAGACACTTAACTGACTGAGCCACCCAAGAGTCCCAATATACTTGTACTTTAAGATTTGAAAGTGTTTCTTTCCCGTGAGGCTGGTAAACTGGGAATAAGAAATCAGATCAGATTAAAAGCCAAAGAAGTGCTTCCTGAGTGTAAGTTAATATTGGATGTTATGCATTCAGTTGAATTCAGTCTCAGTGTTTGTTATGGGTGGAATCAATTAATGTTAATCATGTTCTTGTCTCTGTTACTGCCAGGGCCTCGTGCAAACTTTCACGTCTCCCTAACCACAGTTGACTAAAAAAAACAAAATGAACTAAAGGGGGCGCCTGGGTGGCTCAGTGGGTTAAAGCTTCTGCCTTCAGCTCAGGTTAAGATGCCAAGGTCCTGGGATCAAGCCCCGCATGGGGCTCTCTGCTCAGTGGGGAACCTGCTTCCCTCTCTCTCTGCCTGCCTCTCTGCCTACTTGTGATCTCTGTCAAATAAATAAATAAAATCTTTTTTTAAAAATGCACTAAAGTCTGTTAACCTGAGCACATAAACAATGTCTATAATTACAGTACTGCTCTCTTTGGGACTAGAATCTTCTGTTCCTTGGTTCTCTTACTATTTTTTCCTAAAAACACCTAAACATCAAATATTAGTTGCACATAATTTTCTAAAAATAGTTATGGCTGTTGTAAGGCTAACCCCTTTTTTCCTGACAGTGTTCCCTGTTAAAATGCTGGGCAGTTTCACCATACAGCGTGACCTCTTTGCAGGGATTTTTGTCCTTGGGAATGCTGATTCTCACCTTGTCTTTTACATATGTGTTTATGTTTTTCAGGAAAAAAGTGCCAGTTCAAATGTAAGACTTAAAACTAATAAAGAGATTCCAGGATTAGTTCATCAACCCAGAGCAAAGTAAGTTCTAGTTCCTATTTTTCCTTATGTTGTTTTTAAAGCTATTAATGTCTTCAGAGTGAGCTCAGTTTTGCCTGCCAGGTAACCAGGACGTATTGTAAAGCTTCATTGAATTGAAACAGTGTGGTTTGGTCAAATGGAACAGCATGGGGAGTCCCAAAACAGACCCGCAGTAAATGACAGCACTGACATTTCAGATCAGTTAGAAGAAAATAAAGCAAAATATCTTTATGACCATGGGGTAGGAGCATTTTGAGTAAGTCAGAAAAGATATAGAACTTAAGAAAAATGATTCATTAATATGACTGCATTAAAGTTAATTAAAGTTAAAATTTACTGTGGGAGCGTAAAAGGAAATGGTGGAATATATCTATATATTTAGTTATATTAGCATATATTATATTAGCATATAAGCGACAAGAATTGGGTTTCAGAATATGTAAACTTCCCCTATAAATCAGTAAGTACAAAACAGAGCTCATAGAAAAAGAGGCTGAAGATGAGAACAACCATTTCACTACAGAGGAAACTTGAAGAGCTAATCATGTCTCGGGAAATACCATTTTATACCACAAGATTGGCAAAAATTTAGTAGAAGTCTGACAGTGCAAATGGTTGACCAGGATGTTGAACGATAGGAACCCTTCACCCCAGTGGAAGCATAAACCGGTACAATTACTTTGGAAAACAATTTGTATTTTCTAATAAAATCGTGCCTGGACCTACCTTGCCCTCCAGCAACTCCCTCTCAGGCGTGTAGCCTAGAAAATCCTCACGCATGTGCGCGGTAGACCAGTCCATATCAGGATTGTTTCCATGAGCTCCTAAGGCTCTTGAACATCCTTGAACAAAACCCGAACATCCTTTAGAAATATAATGGATGACCAAAAACTGAGGCGTATTCTTAGGACAGGAGTTGTACATATCGGTGAAGATGGAAAACCTAGGACTGTACATATGAAGATGGCGGACTGTCACAAAGGTAAGATTGTGTGCTGAAGGAAGTAGTAGCACCTGCCTGCGCGTAGTTTCACTTACATAAAGTTCAAAAACAGGCAGAACGAGTCAGTCGGTAATATAAATGTGTGATAAAACAAAAAGACAAGTGAGGAAATGAAAAGGCATTAAACTGAAAAGAGTGGTTCTTTCTCACTGGGTGGAAGACAATGGAACCAGGGGTTCTGTTTCTTAACCTGAGTGGTGATTACACGGGTGTTCCTTTCATTGTTATTACTTAAGACTGTACAAAGAACATTGTATGTTTTCCATGGGTTACGCATTGCACGATTAAAAAGTTAAGGAGAATAATGAGTATTTTTCTAGATTGTTCTAGAACTGAACCTGTCTTGGCAATAAAACGCCCTTTGTGTGGCTTTGAAGCTGTCTCCCCTTTCCTTCAAAGTGGCTCTGTTTTCCCGAGGCTACAAATCTCTTTTGTGGTGTTGCACCTAAATAAGAACAAATTCTGAGGGTGCCAATTACACTAGTGCAGCTGGTGGTCACGCCCGTCCCCAAAATAAACCTGTTACGTCGATGCAATAGTAGTTCCATAAATCCAGGTCATAAGCAGAAAAAAGTTGTGTTACATCTGGTTCTTCCCAGGAAATGGAGACAAAAATAGCTGAGGTCAAAGTAGTCACTTTCCCCTGGCTCGGTGTCTCTGGTGGTGCTGTAGGTGGCTAGGACTCTACCAGTGGTGAATGAGCTCAGGGATTTAATTGTTTACTTTCAAAGAAAACTGCGGCATTTTAAAATCCACTTACCATTTACACTGACCGTGGGATGGCAAAACTGATTTTTGCACCCTTAGGGGACCCATTATGCCGTAATGACAACCTATCCCCCACCCCAACCCGGCCACGTCCACTTTTATCTACCCTAATTTTTTAAAAAAAGATTTTATTTATTTATTTATTTATTTATTTATTTGACAGACAGAGATCACAAGTAGGCAGAGAGGCAGGCGGGGGGGTGGGGAAGCAGGCTCCCCTCTGAGCAGAGAGCCCCATGTGGGGCTCGATCCCAGGACCCTGAGATCATGACCTGAGCCGTAGGCAGAGGCTTTAACCCACTGAACCACCCAGGAGCCCCTATCTACCCTAATTTTATCTGCCTTTGAGGGACAACAGGTATCTGACGATAGAACAAGTCATCTTTTCATCTAAGCCATTCGATACATGCTTTTTTTTTTTTTTAAAGATTTTATTTATTTATGTCAGAGAGAGAGAGCACGAACAGGAGGAGCAGTAGGCAGAGGCAGAGGGAGAAGCAGACTCCCCGCTGAGCGGGGAGCCTGATGTAGGGCTCAATCCCAGGATCCTGGGATCATGACCTGAGCTGAAGGCAGATGCTCAACCAACTGAGCCACCCAGGCACCCCCCGATATATGCTATTTTTAAATGTCTCCCTTATCTCTGAGTTCTAAGGAGGGGCTGCATTAAGGAGAATTTCTTCCTTCCTTTGGTGTAAATACTTGCGGAATTTACACACACTAAAGCAGCATGCTTTGCAGACTGGCCTGTGCTGAGGCTTTCAGAGAAGTTGATTAAACTGGTTCATGTGTTTACATTAAAATTAGGAAGAAAATCTCTGTTTTGTGTGTGTGTGTGTGTTAAACTATGAGTCAGAACCTTGGGTTACTGGAATTCCACTACAGAATCTTCCTGTAAGGCCATGAGGGGTGAGTGTTATTTTCCTTCTTACTGACACAGAAGATAGGGAAACTCTCATTTATTCTGCAGTGTAGAAAACAAGGTAACGAGTTTCTTTTCCCCAGAAGTGGAAGAGCAATCCCATATGTGGTAACAGGGGATTTATTAATAATAAAGGAGACAGGTAATAAAAGGCAGACGATCTTCACACTTTCATTTGCTGTAACGTGCAGAGCACATGCTTACTTTGTGATCTCAAGCCAGTGACCTAATGTCATTGGGCTTCCGTTTTCTCCAATTAAAAGGAAAGAGAAAAGTCTTCTTCCTAAATGAAATAATGTATGCCCGGTGCCTATCACAGTGTCTGCTGCTTGGTAAGAAGGCCTTAACAGTTAGGAGCGCCTGGGTGGCTCAGTTGGTTAAGCGTCTGCCTTCAGCTCAGGTCATGATCCCGGGGTCCTGGCATGGAGTCCGAGCCCCACGTCCGTTTCTCTGCTCAGTGGGGTGTCTGCTTCTCTCTCTCCCTCTGCCTGCTGCTTCCCCTGCTTGTGCTCTCTCTCTGTCAAATAAATAAAACATTAAAAAAAAAAAAAAGAATGCATTAACTGTTAGAAATAGCCCAAATGCCCTTTAACAGGAAATTGGGTAAAGAACCTCACCGCCTTCTCACAGTGGAATATTAGCCATGAGAACAGATGCACGGCCACAGCACACAGTGCTGGATGGCCCCGAGCAATGTAATACCTGAAGAAAAGACTAGGTCCTGAAAGATGGCGCAGAGCATGACACACTCCTCGTCAAGTCGAAAACAACCAGATAAATCATCTGCTTTATAAAGCACATATGCAGTAAAGCCTATAAAAGGGGTGGGGGGATCTTGGTTTCCTGGTGTTGGGGGAAACACGCCTCGGTGGGAAGTAAGATAGCTCTAGGTTGTTGTCAAGGTCCTAGCGCTTGTTTTTGTTTTAGTTTCATAGATGCTTATTATACTATTTAAAAAAAATAAATTTGACTCAATAGAAGTGAGCCATGCATGAACTGCTAGCAAAGGTGTGTCGTGATTTGGGGATTAGGGTGAAGCCACTTCCCCCAAGGACCCATTGAGCAATGGTGACGATAGTTATGAAAGAAAGAATTGTGTTCAAGCCAAGATTTGCCAGGAACGCCCTGAGTGATTGCATTTTATTTTTGCAGGTGAAGTATTAGGGAGTCAGGACCTTGCCTTCTGATACTTTGGTGGCTTAGGTTTTTATTATCGGAAACTTTTTTTTTTTAAGTCACTAAAAAATGAAAGCTGTGCCCCTTTTAGCGTTCAAGCTCATATTGCCCACCTGTTTCGTTCCTTTGATTATTTGTCATTAAGATTCCATATGAGGGAGCACCTGGGTGGCTCAGTGGGTTAAAGCCTCTGCCTTCGGCTCAGGTCATGATCTCAGGGTCCTGAGATCGAGCCCCACATCAGGCTCTCTGCCCAGCAGGGAGCCTGCTTCCTTTCCTCTCTCTCTCTGCCTGCTGTTCTACCTACTTGATATCTCTCTCTCTCTGTGTGTCAACTAAATAAATAAAATCTTTTTTAAAAAAAAGATTCCATATGACTGTCTCCCCCGTCTCACAAAGCTAAGGAATCACAGCGGGAAGAGCCTTTGGATGATTCAGGGTTAACTCACAAGAGCTCTTCCAGCACCAACTGGGGACACAGGAAGTGCTGGGGGAGGAGGGAGCATTGTGATTTCCCCGGCTGAATTCATTAGAGAGAAATAGGAATTACTGAGACTGTTAAGTCTTATCAGTTAAATCAAGTACCGACATACAGGCTTTTGTAAAAGATTTTTAGATATAATTAATCTTAGCATCAAATAGTCATACTTTATAAACTGAATCGTAAACAATTTAGTTATCCGTTTCTGTTATCTTGAGGAAAGGTAGAAAGGCCAGTGGGCCTTTTTCCTCCCTCACCACGTACAGTCACCAAAGTGTGCATCAGAAGGGGTTTCAGGATGGAGTTGTTACCTATGGACTGCTTCTCACAACGCAGTTGGGACTCTTGAAGGTAAAAACTAATATTAATGACATTGTGTTGATAGAGCTTCTACATAAGAAGAGAACATCCTAGGCAGGAGTCCGTGCAGGTGGGGTAATTTATTTACCCACCCCTCCCACCCCCCCCGCAGAGTAACAGTGCTGCCTCTGTCCCTGTTGAAGGGACTTCAGGGCTTGTCTGTGAAACAAATCCACAGAAGACAGAGAGGGAGGAGCAGATGTTTGCGGGTTTTGCCATCCTGAAGATGGCGTGCGGGCGGCAAGGGCCTCATGTGGGCCTTTGTGCCATCTGCCACACTTCCGGGGATGCTGGAGCTTATCGGAAAGAGCTCATTTGGTGCATCAGGATTTGATAATAAATAAGTCAACTTTCCATTAGTCTTTTCCGGCTAACACAGTCCACATGCTGTCTGTGGCAAGATCGTGAATCCGTCTGGCGGAAGACACGACTTGGTAGGTTTTGAAATGAGACAGAGGCGGGCAGGGACGTTCTGATGCTCTTACCCAAAGCCAAAGCAGGCAGCATGTCTGTGTTGTGTGGTGTGATGGTGGAGATGCACCGACTGAAAGCCATTTGCCTCGGTTTGGTTAGAATTGTTTCTCAGAGGGCACACATGAGAAAGAACGTGGTTGAGTGGGCTTCCCAGCCGTAGGACCCTCTGCCCCTGGAGTGAGGGTGCTGTTTGGTTCAGGATTCAGGCGGGATCGCAGATACGCTGTCTTGTCTAACGAATTCTGGGTTACATGGCTTTTGTTCAGTTTGCTTTAATCAAGGAATGGTTTTAAAAAAATGGTTAGAAAGTATGTAGTTAAACTACACAAAACTGGAAGCACTGAGATGTTTGCGCTAGCTCACTGTATATGCATCTTAAGGTCTTCACCATTACCTTTGGTGTCAGTCTCCTGATACGGACCCCAGAGCTCTGCATTCTTTTTTTTTTTAATTAATTAATTTTAGTTATTTATGTAATCTCTATACTCAACGTGGGGCTCGAACTCACAACCCCAAGATCAAGAGTCGGATACTCCCCTGACTGAGCCAGCCAAGTGCCCCTGAGCTCTGCATTCCTCATCCCAGGGATGGCAGACACATTTGCAGAATCGCTTTTACTTAAGACTAATCATTTTGTTAGTCTGGTATGCATATGTATGAGTACTAACCAAACATCCCTGTTTTCTTGTTGTGATCGTTCAATTAAGGAGTTAATGGAAGTTAGTAATAATCCCAGAATATCAGTGCCGGCCTGGACCTCAGAGACCAGCCTGATGGTCTTAGAGATGAGGATCTGAGGCCTGCACCTCACCCGTCCCAACATACTGAACTGCCTCTGGGCGGAGTCGTGAATCACTAAATAAAATAGGGACACTTGGCCACCTGATTAAATATGTATTGCCCTTCTGTTATTTGCAAGGCAATATATGTTAAAAACTCTACCCTGAGAGTTACCACGGTGAACGTCAAATCCTAAACATGCCATTTTTAGGAGGTCTCTTGGAATTTCCTAGGAAAACTAATAGATATATGGTTCGTCTATACTAAGATATGTGTGTGTGCGTGCATGTGTGTCTGTGTGAATATCGATATTAGGGTCTATCTGTGTCTGTCTGTCTTCATGCCTTTTCTCTCTGGGACCCAGAGCTGTCCAGAATCCTCATTGGCAGAGAGTTTGACCAGGAATGGGGGGCGGGGTGGGGGGATGCCCAGGACGTGTCTGAGCAGCCGTGGTGACTGCCAGGATACGCCTGTTCCACACTCACAACCCCCCCGACACAAGCTCTCCCTCAGAGCCTGTTTACACTGACTTTAGACACAACTCTAACAGACCTGGATGGGCTAAGCATGGAGAAGCAGCAGCTGGGAAGGAAACGGAAAGAGAACCAATACCTTCTCTGACAAGAAGAAAAGGGGAAGGTTCAAAGCAGGCAGAGCACAAAACCCTCAGTTTAAGGCCACTTTGCTGAAGGAGAGCCGGCTCTCCCCATCTCAGAGGCTTCAGGGTGGGGGAGGTCCCAGTATTACAGAGGGGATTGTGATTAAAGATCATGGGAGTGGCCACTAGTCATTAAGTGAAAGTTAAATAAGGTTTGTGATAGATCCTCTATTAAAGTTAGAAGATTTGCATCCAAAGTGGCTTGAATAATAAATGTTTTGGCACTTAAAGGAGTAAAACCATGGGGAATCTGGAAAAACTCCGGTATGCAAAAGTGGATTTTCCGCCCAGCCAGAGAGGAGAAGAGACTGTTTTAATATATTCTCATCATCACAGTTTCTGGCCCCCTTCTAACCTGCAACCAGGGAGGGAGTGTTTCTGAAACAGGACCTTTACCTCACTTGAATTATCATATAAAGGACAGGAAAAATTATATGATGTGTGTGAAAGCTGATTGCTGGTATCAGATAGTTTATCATTTCCCTTTTATATCTGAGCTGATGTTCATGGGCTCCCAGTATTAAATCTTGGTTTTCCACGCAGGGGAAAACGCTCGAGCCCCAAGGGTTTGGGGTCCCTTGGGCATTCTCTGCAGCCCCTAAAGGCTGAGACAGAATGCTAAGGGCTAGCAGGTGGGCTGCCCACATGTAGACTTGTAGGGAAGAAGCTATTCCAGAGCCTCCCCTGCTTCCATGCCCAGCCACTGCAGCAACTGAGCACTAGGAAGAAGCACTATGCGATGTGTCTCTTAGCCCAGTGTCCTGAACCTCCTTGGACCACTCCTTGTTTGTTGCATGGAAATCACTATCATCAAGTCTATGTTGCCACCAGGGCCCTTTCCTCCCATGCCCTTCCCATCTGTGATTCTTCTCTGCTCTCCTTTACCTTCTTTTGTTTGGTGCCCAGCACCCACGTCAGTGTCACTGGGTGTACAGTTAAATAGCATTAGATGAGCAAACACACAGGGCAAGTGCTCCTCAGATAGGCTTCCTGACTCGCTCCCACAGTGCAATGGGATTTCACTTCCAAAGAGCTGCATTGGCTGTCACCACTGCACAAAGGGTTCAGGGGCAATGTCAAGTCCTTTGCCTGTTTGCTGCCAGCCCATAGCTAGACGGGCAGCTGCGGACCGTGCTGATGACGACATCCCTGTAAAATACACATTTCCACATAATAACTTGGATATATTTGCTTTTCACAGTTATACACAGGCTTGAAATATGCCATAATGCTTGGCTGTGCTTTTTTTTTTTTTTAAATCACAAATGTGTATCTGAAGAAAAAAATTGCCACACAGCTCCCAGTAGCATCACTATTAATAATATGTGTACGGTGAAAGGAGATTGTATACCTTAAATCGTAGGAACTGATAGACTCTAATGAAACGCATTTATAGGAATTACTGCAATGGCATTTATCCTCAATAGGACTTGGACTGTTTCAGTAGAAAAGTCAGCAATAAGTAAATATCTGCTTCAAAGTTTGGGGACTCGGCGTTTTTCACTGGAGGGAGCTGGTTGGAGACAACATTGAAACATGCACTGAACTACTCTTTGTTTTTTTTAGCATGCACATCTCTGAAAGCCAACAAGAATTCTTCAGAATGCTGGATGAGAAAATTGAAAAGGTAAGAAGTAAAATAAATGAACCACTTGTTTCAAGGGACATGTGCTACTGCCTCCTGAGTTCAGGTAATAATGTTCTGATTCCTGTGTCACAAAGCTGTTCTTGTAAGGGGATGGGTAGAGAGCTAAAACAAAAGTCTCCCCTCACACCAAAAAAAAAAAAAAAAATGTGACTCTGAGAATGTTTGATCTCTGCTAGAGCATCCAAGATCCCAGGCTTGTTGATCACTAATGAACAGGTGTAGGGCCAAAGAGAGACTAGTCAGAGCCTTTGCCCAGAGACAGAACATCGCTATCACCGCACATTGTCTGCAGCTGGTACCCTGCTCTCACCTGAGACCATGAGCAAGGAGGTCATCAGTGCCTGCCGACGCCTCTGGAGTGTCCGCTCGGGGCCTCACACCACTCACTCTTCTCTACAGACATAGCATCTGTGTTGCCGTCAGTGCCTGCCACGGGGAAATGGCTCTGAGACACGTATTATCTGCTTGTACAGCCAAGGAAACTAAGGCTCAGAATATCTGAATAACTTACCGAGGTTTGCAAGGCTGATCGTGGTCAAGTTGGAATTCCAGCCCACATCTGCCTGGCCCCAAAGCAGAGTCTGCTGAGCCGCTTCTCCCGGAGTGGGGGTGGTTTACAGGGACAGGAAGATCTGTGTGGAAATTGAACCCATACTTAGGATCTCAGAGTACCATATGCTAATCAGCTAAATGAAGTAGGGAATATGGTAAGAATTAAAGGCTTACTTCCATACTTGTGGAGTTCAAATTCATCACTGCAGGGGGTGAACTTTAAATACGACCGTTATAAATCGGAGTAATTCCATTTGAAAACCTTGTTCTGAAGAAGAGTAAAATCCTAAATTCAGAACATAATACAACCGTGACGAAGGCATCGCGGGCCAGTTTTGCCTTTGGAGTTTTTTCCACTTTAATTTTTATTTATTTTTTATTTATTTTTATTTATTTTTATTAATTTTATTTATTTTTATTTTATTTATTTATTTATTTTAATTTTATTTATTTGTGGCCCTTTTATCTGAGCATTCCTTCATGAATTCCTAGGTTATGATATGTATCCGTCAATGGAAAATAATAAAGGGTTTAAATTCTTGAGTATTTTAGCAGCAGACCCCATTCTGAAGTGGACCTCCATAAAGAAAAGTTGTGTAATCTTCCCATGCACCATTACAGGACCAGCACATGCTGCCCGTATGAAAGGTAGAGATGGAAGATGGATTAGAATGGAACTTTAACCTACAGCATTACTTGGCTATGTGTAAATACTCCTTTGCATGTAATTTATTTTATTCTATTTTTAGAGAAGGAGAGAGGGGGAGTGGAAGGGCAGAGGGATAGAGAGAGAGAGAATATTAAGCAGGCTCCACACCCAGTGCAGAGCCCAACCAGGGCTCCATCTCACGACCCTGAGATCATGACCTGAGCCAAAATCAAGAGTCGGATGCTTAACCCACTGAGCCACCCAGGTACCCCTTTTTTCTTTTTAATTTTTAGTGAAATCCCAGCTTACAAATGACTTTTTAGATTGAAAACTTCATCTAGGAATAATTACCAAATTTCATGTATTGGTTCCAAAACTGTTCAACTTGCCAATAACATTTGTTTTATTAAGAGAGGTTAAAAAAAAAAAAAAAAGAATATTTTGTTCCCGGTGTAATGGTGAAGACCTTTTCTTTCTCGGTTTGTTTGGACTTTTTTTCCTCCACTAGCTCTGTGGCAATAAGAGGATCTTCTTAGTAGTTCAAGTTAGTCTCTAAAAACTGAAACCTGAATGGTAAGTTATCTTTTTAAACAAAAGTTACAGACCCTGACAAGGCATTTAAGATTATCTAATCCCATCCTGGTCTGTTTCCATAATTGAAATTCTACCCGCTTTTACTCAAAACTGGAATTCATTGTTCCCATCTGAAATCTGATTTCCGTTTTTCCTTTTGCGTCCAGGGTGTAGAGTATGATGTGTCTAACACAACAAAAGCAAAGTTTATAACTTGTTCATTTGTTGGATGGAACCTTCCCTAGACAAAGGAGCATTTGTAGATTCAACATAAACAGTATTCTCACTATGGAATACATTTATGTTCAAAGAAGAGCTGTTATGTAATCTGTGACATGCTCCCAGTTACAGATTTCTAGGGGAATTTTCTATCCGGTCTGAACCAGGCTTTCCTGTTTCTTCCCTCTTATCTAAAGTTCATCTCTCTGAATATTATGAGCGTGCTGTTCTGTGTGTTATTTAACCATTGAGCCGCCAAGATTAAAGTATTCCTTCTTAATCTACACATTTGACTTAATATAATCTTTACATATTTTATATAACCAAAATTGGAAATTGAGTTCTTATAAATTATTTTCCTGACTTTCCATCATTGCTAAATATTTCTTTGGTCCAAGCTAGCCTGAGGGCAACCATAAATGCAAACTCACATCTGTTTTTCAGGTTTTATAGAGTTGATTTTAAAAAACAAAAGACAGGGGCACCTGGGTGGCTCAATGGGTTAAGCCTCTGCCTTTGGCTCGGGTCATGATCCCAGAGTCCTAGGATCAAGCCCTGCATCAGGCCCTTTGCTCAGTGAGGAGCCTGCTTCCTCCTCTCTCTCTCTCTCTCTCTCTCTCTCTCTCTCTCTCTGCCTGCCTCTCTGCTACTTGTGATCTCTGCCCATCAAATTAATTAATTAATTAATAATAAACAAAAGACGGGGCACCTGGCTGGCACAGTCAGTTAAGTGTCCAACTCTTGGTTTTGGCTCAGGTCATGATCTCAGGGCCATGAGACTGAGCCCCACTTTGGGCTCTACCCTGAGTACAGGGTCTGCTTCAGACTCTCTCTCACTCTGCCCCTTCCCACTAGGCGCTCATGTGTTCTCTCTGTCTCTCCCTCTTAAGTAAATCTTTAAAAAATGAAAACACCTCAGAACTTCGTGCTGAAAATTGGAGTCATTCTAAGAGGACTTGAGTTTTGAGATTTAATATCTCTCAGAAATGTCCAGAGATTTTTTTTCTTCCTTCAGTTGATGAGAAACAAAATTGACTATCTGTGCAGATTGAAACCTGCCCTTCCTTGATCTTCCTTTGTATTTATTGAATGTCTGTAGAACATGGCTTCAATTTGCCCTTCAACTCTCAACACCAAAAGAAATCTCTACTGTGTCTCTCTCAAGAGAGAAGTAAAAGTACTGTTAGTGTAAAGAAACTAGGACTGTTAGAGGGTCTCGTATTTAGTGGAAATTAAGTTGGACTGCTCTAGTTCACACCTTCAGCTGGACCAACGTTTTCTAAGATGTTAATGATGTCAAAGAAAAGCGAGTAGCAAAAATGCCTTTAAAAAAACTTACTTACCACTTAGTGAGTACCAGATAGTTACTCAGGATGGAAAATAGGAAATTTGGGATACAAATATGTAGGTAACAGTCCCTGGCCTTAAGGAGCTCAATTTTAGAAAGTGAATTCCTTTCACAATATAATCATTTTACTGATTGGAGCCCTTCACCCATTAGCCCTTCTCCTCATGACCCCCTGTCCTCCTGCCATCACTGGGAGCCAGGCCTTCCTTTACCGGACACAAGTGTTTGTTGGGTCAGGTGGTGGAACTTGAGGTCCCTTAACCAGGGAGCTGGGTCAGCTTCCTGGACACTTTGTACCATTTCCACTGCCCTGGCAGCTAGAAGGCCAGGATCCCGAGCTACGTCTGGGAGAGCTTTGGTCAGGAGAGCAGTGAGAGTTCCAAAGAGCTTGATAACCTCTCTTTGATTTACTTCTTCATTTCCTTTGTGGAGAGTAAAAATCCTATGACACAAAAGGAGCACCCATTTACTTTTCCTTCATTATGTTTTACTCGGATATTCAATTGGAATCTGTAGTTATTTCTCCTGCCAGTTCACAGACTCCCAAACCTTACGGGAAGTGGCGACATCCACCTAATTTTGCAACGGAAGAAAATGATGGTTTACTTCAGAGCAAGATAATGACTTTAAATTCTACGCTTTCATAAATTTTAAATTCTACTCATTTCGAATTTTTAAATTCTACTCATTCATATTTAGAGAAGATGATATCTAGATTATTAAAAGTCAGACCCATGGGGGAGAATCTGAATATAGTACCAAAGACAGATCACATCACATCTTTCTTTTTAAGATTTTATTTATTTATTTGACAGAGATCACAAGTAGGCAGAGAGAGAGAAGGTGGGAAGCAGGCTCCCTGCAGAGCAGAGAGCCCAAGGCGGGACTCGATCCCAGGAACCTGAGATCATGACCTGAGCCGAAGGCAGGGGCTTAACCCACTGAGCCACCCAGGCGCCCAGATGACATCACATTTTAAGATATGCTTTCTTCTGTACATTTGAGTTTACAGGTTAGAAGTCAGAAAGGTAAATACATTTTTAAGTGTCTACAACAATAGGACCTTCTCCAGGCAAAAACAAGGATGTAAGTTTTGCTCTACAAGGTTGTAAGAACAGCTGATGACCAAGGAGCATTTTGCCCTCTCAAAGACAACTCTTTTTTTTCTTTTTTTTTTAAGATTTTATTTATTTGAAAGAAAGAGGGAGAACAAGTGGGGGGCGGGGCAGAGGTGCTTTGAGCCCAGTGTGGGGTTTGATCCCAGGACATGACCTGAGCCCAAAGGCCAAAGCTTAACAGACTGGGCCACCCAGGCGTCCCAGGACAACTCTTCATATTAAATAAAGAACGTCTCAGTACAGCACCGTTTGCATCTGATTAGTTTTTCGCAAGTAAAACTTTGTAAGCTTTATTAGGCTGTGAGCATCTTTTTGGAATCTTACCAGAGTGATAGAGACTCTCCCTATAAAAATGCACATATCCTGTACACAAATTTCTTAAGTAAAATGTCAGGCTTGGATCATTTCCCTGGAACCTCTCCCTGGGCCCCAGGCCTAGAACCTATGGATTTCTTCATGATGCCTTTCATTGGTGTGCTTCCCTCGGAGACAGGACCTGTCTGTACCTGTGAACCTTACT